TGAACTGTGAGCAAGAGAGAAATTTGTTTGGTTCTTTTTAAAAACTTCACCATTTATTTCGTATTAGTTATCACATATTTGTTGTTGTGTTACCAAATATAGCACATCCCACAAGCAATTTTCCCAAAAAAATATATGAGAAAACCTATAGAAAGGGAAAAAAGACAAGATCAATTTTCAATCATCCTTGGTGGAATTTTTAGTAGAGCTAAAAAAAGTCACAAAATAGCAAAAAGAAATTACAATAGTTACATGAATAACCATGACTTACGGTAAAAGATTAATCTCTGTGAAATAGGAAGAAAAAAACTTTGAGGAATGAAACACATTTAATAAGAAACTTAATTAATGTATTTGAATTTGACTCCCCTATAGTGAAAGAAAACCTACAAATAATAGTGGCAGATGTAGAAGTTTTGTTTACTAAAGAACCAAATGTAATGAATTCAACCATTCCAATAGCATTTGAGTTGTGGACGGAGAGATGCAAGAGTAGTAATGTCGCATTGCAATTGAAATTAATTTTCTTTGTTTATATGAAGAACTTGTAGAAAGGAACAAAAAAAAGATCAATTTTTAATCATCCTTGCTGGAATTTTTAATATAGTTCAAAAATGTCACCAAAATAGCAAAAAGAAATTGCAATATTTACATGAATCACAATGACTTACCGTAAAGATTAAACTTTATGAAATAGGAGGAAGAAAACTTTGAGGAATGAAACACACTTTGTAAGAAGCTTAATTAATGTATTTGAATTCGACTCACATATAGCGGAAAAAAACCTACAAATAATAGTGGTAGAAATAGAAGTTTTGTTTACTAAAGAACCAAATGTAATGAATTCAACCATCCCACTAGCGTTATGAGTTGTAGACTGAGAGGTGCAAGAGTAGTAATGTAGTATTGCAATTGAAATAAATTTTCTTTGTTTAATCATTCTTCTTTTGGTGCCTTGGAATTAAGTATTGGGTTTTAAAAGGTGTGAATGAAAATGAAGAGTTGTGACTTTAATAAAAAGTTGTGACTTTTGTGAAAAGTTGTGACTTTGGTGAAAAGTTGTAATTTTTAGGAAAGAAAATTACTCTTATGAAGAGTTCTGACTTTTCTAAAGAGTTGTGACTTTTATGAAATGTTGTGACTTTTAAGAAGAGTTAAATATGAATATTGATTTGTGAGGGTGCCATATAGGCAGTTCGCTTGTTGTAAACAGGCGCAACGTTTATGAAGAGCGTCAAGAGTGGTAAAACAATGAATGGGAGAAGTGGTTGTTGAAGGTTGATGCGGCGTTCCAATTGCAAAGGGGAAGGGCAGTTTTGGAATTAAATAAATAAAAAGAGAATCCTTACTTCTGGTGGCGCCACATCGCCGGGTTGAGGGTTCTCTTTTATATATATACATGATTATATATCTCATGAGTTACAAAAAAACCTTCATCTATTTATATCCTTTATTTATTAATATGTCTCATCAATTTCTTTTACCTAATTCGTACATTACATATATTTTAAGCTAGACAAAACAAGAGTGATGTAACATCTCTCTTTTGCCAATAATAAATATTATTAATTAACTTTTATCATTTTTCTTTTACGTTTTATCTCATTTTTATCAATAATTAATGTAGATTATAAAATATTTTGAATAATATTTTTTTATCGTTACACTTGTTGATAATTATTATCTACATTTATGCAAAGTAACGTGTGTATGACTTTATAATAGACGTAACAAACAAACAAATACTCCTCTTTATCTACACTTTTGATTAAACTATTGACTTGTATTGGTAATCAACAATCTTGCAAATAGTACGAGACTTTTTAACTTTTGAAGCTCAAAATTCAACATGTTAATTTGTACATATTCCTGTTCAAATACAATACTTATTGAGAGTGTGATTTAAAAAAAAACTTCTTTTGATATATTACTACTATTCATATTTCTGACTTGAATTCTTGAATATATAAATTCAATATGAGCTTGATATATCAGAATGCACTTACAAGTTACAACGCATTAAAGTCAAACAAAATAGTCATATAGGTGCAAGAGAAAATAAATAATTGTGTTGTAATGTGCTTTGATGTTCTTTAATTTTGGAAGGACCGACGATTTTACTTCTTTGTGTAATTTAATATGATTTCTTTTGTGAGCCTTCTTTCTTTGTGAAGCCTTATGAACAAAACATAATTTTTTGGACACTTTACTTGTCTTAACCATTCATTTTTGAAGGATAAAGTTCTTTAAGAATAATATTTTTAGTAGTAATAAAAAAAATTAAAAAAAAAATTATCCTCATTTATATCTATATCTATTTATTTCTTTATTTTATACTACCTTAAAATTATGAACTTTCTAACTTGAATGTTAAATTACTAAAATACTGTAAACTTAAAACATTCATCTATGTCTATTTAAATAACATATGTTCTCTTGAAAGATATTGACTTATCCAATAAGTTATGACTTTTTCGAACGGTTGTGACTTTTTCAATGAGTTTTTACTTTTAGAAAGGGTTATGGCTTTTTCAATAAGTTGTGACCTTTCCAATTAGTTGTGACTTTTCCGATTAGTTGTGACTTTTCCAAATGGTTGTGATTTTTCCGATTAGTTGTGACTTTTCCAAAGAATTGTGACTTTACCGATAAGTTGTGACATTTCCAAAGGATTGTGACTTTTTCGAAGGGTCATGACCTTTCAGATAAAGCACAATAAACATTTATTCATCTTATACTTTGTTGGCTATAAATAGATGTGTTTTTCTCCTTTTTCAACCACATTAAAAAAAATTGCTCTTTTTCTTCTTATATTTTTAAAATTATTGCGATTTATTGTCGTTGAGTAAATTCAAAGTTTAGAAAAATTTGAGGTACAATTATTCTGATGAAGCAAATCATTCAATCCTAAGAGGATATATTCCAAGTACTTTAGAAAAATAATTTTTGGTGATATAATAATCTTTTTTTTTTACTTATAGTAGTAGGTAATGTTCCAATATATGAAGCTAACTTGAAGTAGTCTAAATTCATTTGGTTTTATAACATTTCTCTTGTGATGTGTATATATGCTTTTGAATATCTTTTTTCAATATTACTGAATTGCTCATGAGTCAGAAAATTGTGACGAGTTGTTTTGTTGATGATCAAGACATAAGAATGAATATATTTTTCAATGCTATTTATGTGATTGAAATTGTCAGCAAGTTTGCTTCAAAATAGTTACTACTTTATAATATTTTCCTTTCGTTTTACTTATTTATTATTTTTAATATTTATGTAATTTAGTCAAAAAAAAAATCCATATAATTTATAATGACGCTAAGTTGACGTGGCTATTAGTTTATTTTTTATTTTTTGTTTAATTAATTTTTTTTTTATATATATATATATAAGTATTGTATATGGCACGAAAGTATCATCAAATTAACATGGATATGAAAATATCATTGTTTGATGTAAGGTAAACATGATATATGTATGATTTCACAAATTAAATATATTTTTATGTTTAATGTTTAATTTTCTAGTGGAAAAAAAGAAGAAAAAGAATCAGTTAACTATGGAAAGTCAAATTACTATTTTTGATTTATGTATATATTCAATCGAGAAGGCCAATATGAATATCAACAAAAAGAACATTTTTAGTTTTTTAGTGGAATAAAATCATTTCTAGTTAACTACAGAAAGACAAATAACTGTCTTTCATTTATGTACTCATTCAATTGGGAAGTAAAAAATCAGAACTAACAACAAGAACGTCATCTATTATTCACCTTATAAAAATAATAAATAAAAGTACAGAAAAATAATTCTAAAAAAGTAAAATGTAATTATTTTCTTCACGTATTCATATAAAACATCTCAAATTTTAATTCAAATACTTACTCCCCCTGTCCCAATTTATGTGACACATTTCGCTTTTCGAGAGTCAAACAGTTTAAGTTTGACCGAGAATTTACTCATGAAATCTTCATTTTTTTAAAAATGAAATATATATATATAT